TTCTTTCGAATTAGTTGTTGAAGTGGTGCATAATTGGAAAATACACTACAATAAATAAATACAAAGTCAGGGTTGTTGTGGTACAGTGGTAGTGTCACTACCTCTAGGCCAAGAGGTCTAGGTTCAAGACCCACCTGGCATAACATGTCCAATCAGATTGAACAAATTAAGTATGATGCAAAAAGGATAAAGAGGTCACATACACCTCAGAAAATGAATATCTAAATCATGTTAAGGAGCGGTAGAATCTGGGGTACAAATACTGCGATCACTAAACATGGTGACACAGGTTAATAAAAGCAGAACAAACGTGTATTTGGGTTCACCAATAGGATTGGAAATGCACTTTAAACTAGTATAACCCTTGGTTAAACCAACCTTTTTATACAATGAACAGTTCTAAATTCCATATTATAGAAAGGATATTATATAGGAGGAACTTCTTCACCCAAAGGGTTGTGAATCTATGGAATTCCCTGCCCAGTGAAGCGGCTGAAGCTACCTCGCTGAATGTTTTTAAGGCAAGGCTAGATAAATTTTTGAACAGTAAAGGAATTAAGTGTTATGGTGAGTGGGCGGGTAAGTGGAGCTGAGTCTCAAAAAGATCAGCCACGATCTTATTAAATGGTGGGGCAGGCTCGAGGGACCAGAAGGCCTACTCCTGCTCCTAGTTCTTATGTTCTTATGTTCTTATTATAAAAGGATGAAGAATATGCAAAAAGCATGGATTAAAACTTGGAGGTTACATGCTAAATGTGGAACTTGTTAATCACAGTAGGTACACAGGGCAAGCAACAGAGATGCATTCAAGGGGAAGCTAAATAAGGACATAAGGATGGAAGGGGGTTGGATGAAGAGAAATGGACAAGGCTCATGTGAAATCAAAGATTGACATGGACCATTTGGGCTGAATGGCCTGGTTCTGTTCTGTACATGCTACATTATGTTTTGTGAAGATTATTCTATAAAAACATTCAAACAGACATATATTTAAAGGGCTGATTTTCAAGGTTACAGGGTTAAAGCTGGGTTTCAGACTAAATCAGCCAGCTCTTTCGATCCTAATTCAGAACACCAGGATGTTGTATTGAGTTACATCCAAATCACCGAAACAGTGGTCGTTATTATCATTATTATACAGTATGTATGGTCTAATTGTTTCATGGCATGAACCTATGAAGGGACAAAAAAAAAATTAACTTCCTGCCCCTAGTGCTACTTTTGTATCAGAGATAGTAGGAACTGCAGCTGCTGTAAAATCTGAGATAACAAGGTGTAGAGCTAGAAGAACACAGCAGGGCAAGCAGCATCATAGGAGCAGGAAAGCTGATGTTTCAGGCCTAGACCCTTTTTCTGA